AAAGCAAGCAGAGGAATTTTTCTTACGAGACGCGGGAGCACACGTACTGCGCACAGGTGCACTGACGTGCCCTCCTGGAGCAGGACTTTATTTTAGATCATGCATAATTGTTTTTAAACACTTTATTTTCCACACCTCTTTATTTTCTCATTAGTAATAAAAGATTTGCAAACTTTTAGCCTAGGCTTTATATACAGTAATTCTTTGTAGGTACAAGACAGAGGGCCTTTGATATATCGTTGTGCGTCTTTGTCGTGTGTATACTGTAACTGGCGCGCTCTCAAGTATAGTGGTTCCCACACAAGCTGTATGGATGCAGTTTGAAGGTGTGTCTTGAGAGCCCTTTATTCTCTGCTTGTGTTAAACTGTCTTTTTGACAGGCGGAGGTCAGTCTGTCTGGACAGATTGCAGTAGCTTCTGAAGGTAGTGTTTAAATGAGTAGTCTCACATGGGGTCTTGTTGCAAATGTTGCTAAATTATAAATGCCTTTGTGTTCTGTATTATTACATAATGTTGTTCTGCTCATGTAGACGGTAGTTCAGTGTGATAGAAGGTCGCTCCAGACTGTGAGGTCGGGCCTGGGCTGGAGTGTCAGTGTCACCTGTCTTCCTTCTCCACTGTGGCCTGTTCACAGGTCTTCCTGGGCTTCTCTCCAGAGCGGCTCTTTCACTTGGCGCTGAGCACTGTCTGCTTCAGGCGGCTGGCAGTTTCCAGTTTGCGCTGGAGTGCAGGTAGCAGCAGAGAACGCCTGACTTCTGCAAGACATATAGCAATCTGTCTTGACTTCGAGTGTTCATTGAAATTTAAAATGCTGTGCGTTTATGCATGCATGTCAGTATTTAGTTGTGCTTCAAGACTTCTTTTGAACCTTAATGGGACTCGTGTGTGTGTGTGTGTGTGTGTTGTGGGGGATGTGCACAGGGAAAAAGCTGAAAAAACAAATTGAAAGGAGGTTTATTTGTTCCCCGGTGGTGGAATTAATTGTGTGGACTTGTTTAAGAAAATATGGACGACAGTTTAGGGTGGAGTTTTCATTTCCTTGTTCTCGCTGCACGCCAGATGTGGACAGCGTTAACCCATTCAGTTGCAGGAGATATCCTGAATCTTTTGGAATATCCAGGGATTTCAGGGTCTGTCTGGCCGAGAGCTGGGGTGGAAAACCGCAGAGAGGCGTGCAACAAAGCAAAACTCTGAGCAAGCTGAAAGATATTGATGTGGGTGAGTGACTGGGCTTGCTGGTTATATACAGCAGTGGTATAGGTCTGAGACTGTTGCTTCATTCAGATGAACAATAGCTGACGCAGCCTGCTAGCAGCATGAGAGATTCCTTTGTAGATTTAATGCCAAGTTGGCATTTCTTCGTCTGCTGCTGCTCATTACTGCAGTTCTTCACTGGCGGCTCTGGTGTCCACTCCTCAAAACCACAGCAATCAGAATGAGTTCTAGGACATATCCTCCCTGTCCAATCAGGGCACACAGCTGCCCTCCCTGTTGGGAACCATTCTAGGACGTCCTGTCTCCGCAGAGTTCCCATCCTCTAATTCCATAGTGTAATGTTCAGGATCTACGCAGGATCTTTCCTGACCCACAGAGTGCAGGCCATGCTTGTGGTTGAGGAAAGAAGACTGAAGTAAGTAACATTTGTTGGTATGCAGCTTCTGTTCATTTCAGCTTGCAGGGGAAAGATGTGAGTACTGTTGTTCACAATGTGGTAGTGGTCAGGTGGTAATTGGTCAGTGTTGAACATTGTGTGTAATGATGCCTGGAAATCAAAATGACAATGGATGTGACTGTGCTGTAGTGCGAGTGTTGACTCTCTCTGGGAGTAGCTCAGTGGCAGAAACCTGTTAAAGTGCAACTTTAGTGCCCAGTTCTGCGGTCTCTTCCACAGCCCGACTTCCAGCACCACTGAAACTGCAAACAACGCTTTACCTCCTGGTTTTGGTTATTTTTTAAAGCTGCACAACGACCAAGGGCTGTTCAAGCTAGGGAGAGGACGAAGTCCTGGGCTGGGGTGGGGCTTCGAGGCAGCATCACTTCTTAAGCTGTAAAGGGAGAGACGTGTTGCTCAGGGCCTCCTTAACCAGGGCAGAATGAGAGAGCGCCCCCTTTTGTTTAACCTTGGTATTTCCTGTGCCTTCTTATACTGTGTTGCCTGTCTCTGCAGCCTTACCCTGCCGAGTGGGACTGTGGAGAGCGTCTCTCGCGCTGCCTGTGACCTCTCAGCTCAGGTGCTCATGTTTAGACCGGTCCTGCAGCCAACACAGACGAGTGGACGCTGGCCAATGCGTTTTCGTGCTCGTGAGGCAGCTCTTGCATGCTGACGTTGCAGTGATGTGGTGTCTGCTCGTCGCTGCTGTTGCACGGTCCCAGTCTCCGCGGTTGTGATGTAAACTCGTGCGCTCATAGCGGCGGGGCTGGTTCAGGCTGATCAGACGGGCCGTGTCGGCCTCTCTGCACCGTGTGCTTACAGCACAAACGCACAGCCAGGGAATGGGTAGGAAGTGCTGGCTGGGAATGACAAAGAAGTCACGCAGGCCGAGCCACAAGATGATCAGCTGGGTGTTCTTACAAACTCCCGTCGAGTTCACAGGTGTGATTTGCTTGACACGTGGTGGGGTGGATGTTATTTCTGTAACTCGTGCTTTTTTTTTTTTTTGGCTGGTATTTATTTAAAGTGTGATCCGTTTGTCCAAAGTGTTAAACGTCTGTTTGTTCGCGAGCCCCGTTACGGAATATTCCCAAGTTAGGAGTGCCGGCAGAAGCTGGAAGGCGTTGAAAGCTGCCTTTGGAATTTTCTTCCTTTTCTATTTAGAGTTTCGTGTTTGTCCTCCTGTAAGATAATATGCAACACATTAAAAACGAAGTGGGCAATAAGTAGGAACAGCAAAGTTCAGCCAGAAGTGTCCGTTTGTAAGGAACTGGACCCTTGTCCTGACTCCGAGCACCGTGCTGAATTCTTTAAACCGGCTCCCTTTGGACACGCAGGGATTTTGATTTGTTTACTAGCGGTAGCTGGGTGAAGGGGTTGATGATTTTGGATTAGTGGGTAGAAAGTAAGTTATAAGAAAGAAAACACGGGAGGAACTCAAGAAGATCTTGGGGAAAAAAAAGTATTAATAGTGAACATGAACTTTACTGCTCCTGAAACTAGTTACTTCCCTCTAAACAAGGTCTTTTTGACACAAATGTCAGGTATTTTGCCTATGTATAAAAAAATAAGAGCATGCTTTTCAATTGTACAGGTGTTACTTTATATTTAGTTTCCCACATAAGCTCTGCACACTCTTGAAACATTAGTGTGCATGCTGATCGATTGTATCAATCAAACCTCTCACAGTGTCGGTGCGGTATTTCAACCTGTCTGTGTTTCATGAGTGCAGTACTGCTTTTGGTCTTGTGATTTTTTTTATTTTTTACTCATACTAGTGAGACAAGCACACAAAGACACTTAAAACCTGCAAAAAGTTTCCTCTTCAGCGAAAGTGTAGCGTGCTTGGTCCAGGGTATAGGAGTTCCTGCTTGGGTCCCAGCAGGGTGTAATAAGTAATCAGATCATTGTTTTTTTCCAAACGGCGAGGGGCACAGTTGGTGTTCACCTTGTGTCCTTATATGACATAGTCTCTGGTAGCCGGTAGTTATACATCAGCTGGTCTCCTCAATGGCAGGCAACTCCATTAGCTGCACAGTTGTGTGCAACCTGGGACCTAAGACTCCAATTTCTCTCCCCACTCACTGCCTTCAATATTAAGCTAAGGATGCTGCATACTCTTCCATTGGTTCCTAACACTGGGAAATGGGAATAACCATGCTGTTCAGCTCTAGGTACAGCTGTAATTGCACTCGGCACTCTTCACCTGAAGGACTTACCTGCACTATTTTATTATTGTTACCCAGATACACTGACTACCTGACCAGTCACAAGCAACTTTTCCCCCTTCTCTGGCTGTTACAGTTCACCAGTTTGCCCAGTTGGATTTCCTGCGGTTTCTGAAGGAGGGGTGTTTTGTCTATGGGAGCATGCTCGCAGCTGGGAGAGGGAGTTCAGTAACTGTGACTGGTCCACAGGGGTGCTGGGCTGTTACCTTTTTTTTGTTGGTGTGATTTTTAAGTACCTGTGCACTTTTATTCTTTATTCTACAGAATCTTTCTGAGCTTCTTTGTGCGGACCTTAAACAGTTAGAACAACAAAATAGAAATTAAAACACTTTAAGGGCTTGTTTTTTAAAAATAAAATCAGAATGTTTTGCTGCTGTTGCAAAAAAAAAGGTAAACAAATCCTTTGTAATATTTTTGAACCACTGTGATTTGTACAAAAACGAAACAAAAATGTAGAAAAATGTTAACTTTTTGCCATTTCAGTATTTTAATGTTTGACTTGACTTTTATTAAAACTTTGCTAAACTATTTAAACCGGACTCCTGGTTTATATTTTAAATGCCGTGTGTTGTGATGAAGATGCATAGTGGAAGATGCATGTACAGTATGTACCAAGATGGCAGGGCTGAACTAGACAGAAGAGCGCATAAGTCCGGGAACAGAGGACCAGGCTCGTACTGAGCAGGGCTGCACAGCAGTGAGGTCTTCTGCTTCTCGCTAATTCTCTTTCACAGTTCTCTCCAGTTCTTCAATTAAGAGAAGAAACGGAAGAAGAAATGTGTCAACAGGAAAAGACACAAGCAGTCTACTGGGAGGGCAGCAGCTGTGAAGAGCGAGAGACTGCCACCTGGTGGACCAGGACTGAAGTACTGTGTAGTCAGAGCAGTTCTGCTGCTACTAGTCTTGTTTCTCTTATACTGTAGCTGAACCCCTGCGCATATACAGTACACACTCAAACCTGACCCCAGTTAGTGGTCACCATCCATAAATCCATTACTAACCTCTTTATTCAGTACAGTACAGTTGCCTATTCCCGCAAGCAACCGGCACAGGGTGTGTACCTCGCTGGAGTGAGTGCAAAAGCCTCGACGAGTCGCTTAAACACGCTGGCTAAAGCCTTCTTGTTTTTTAAGTGTTTATTACAGTGATTTTCACAACTACATGGTGTTAACAGAAAACGATCAGGTAAGACTGGCTTGGCTTGGGCTGCTATTTTTTGCACTAAAGTAATTCCTGATTTTTTTTTTCTCCGTATAATACAAAGAAACCTAGAAGCCTAGCAGACTGAAAAATAAAATCCAATAATTTTTTAGAAGATTCCAGAAACCCAATTTCCACTCTTTAATACACAGATTTACACTGGTACTGCAGACATTAAGTGGACGTAAATGGTCATTCTAAGAACAAAAACCCCCGTGACTACATTGGCAGAATGTGCTGATTTTGTCATTAAAACACACAACTGGAAATCACATTGTGCTGTTTGAAACTATTGACTGTTTACAGAATCCAGATTTTTCTCTGGAAAACAATGCCAGTGATCTAGACATATCAGGGTGAGAAGATGGCTACAGTAATTTCGGATCTAGCTGCTGCTCCAATCTGGCTGTTACAAATGACCTCTGAGGCTCTACTCCTGTAAGCATGACCCACGCGTGTACCGCAGCACAGGCGTGATCAGCATGACCCACGTGTGAACCGCAGCACAGGCGTGATCAGCCTGACCCACGCGTGTACCGCAGCAAAGGCGTGATCAGCAGCACATTATTTCAGAAGCAGCTGGCTTGGACGAGAGTGTATAAGACACGTTCACAAACGTGTTCACGCCTATACAGACCTTTACAAAAATAACACCAGGACTTCAGCAAGGACAGCATCGGCATACAGTCTCCTCACAGTCCAGCAGCATTCTGCACAGGGCTCTGCTAATCTCTCCTCCACAGGCGCTCTGCGTACCTGCTCGGGGCTCAAGGTTACTGGTGGGTTTCTATTAAAGGGCTTTTGATGTCTGCTCCATTTTGAATTCTTTGATTTAGTCATTAATCCAAGCTGAACATGCCTCCCTTTTTCTTTCTATGGAGGTGTAGTGTACTTTATTACAGTATATTAACAATTCATCGCACTGCCAAGATGAAACATGCCAAAGAGTTTTCATGTAGCTTTTCTGTCCGTTTTCTTTTTTTTTGATTGAGTTTAAATCCCCCAGGTGAAAAAAAAAACCTTGCCCAGGGTGGTACCGTGCTGGGAGGAAATTTGAAACTCTCCGGCGTGTTTCACTTTTCTTTGGTCACTTTGGGGCGAGTCGCCCACTGTTGCCGTTTATGGGAATGACTTCACTGCTCGGTGCAGGTTGTGTCACCGAACAGCCACGCGCAGAGCCACCTGGGCAGAGAACCACACAAACAGTGCCTGCCTTGCTCTGCTCAGACAAGGACGAGCGGCCTCGGCACAGTCCTACACCAGCATGTAGCGGATGATCTCGCTCAGGTCATATCCTGTCACGGCAAAGGCATTCCCCTCGCTGTCACAGAACTTGGCGCCGCAGATCTGGACATCTGTGACGCACTCAGTGTGCCGATGCTCGATCTGGGAGGGACAGGGAAAGAGAAACGACGAACGGATCAATGGACTGACAGCAGTGGTTGAGCCGATGCTAAATCTGGCAGAGCAGGAGGCTGCTCTGGGCTCATCACAGTGCTGCGTACACCCGAGCCCACGAGGGCTGGGAGTTTGTCGTTACCTCAATCCTGTTGGTCTCTGGGGTCCGGCTCAGCTTCCAGATCCGCACCAAAGAGTCCTCTGCGCCCGACAGCAGCTGTGTGCGGACCGGCAGACAGGTGTTATCACAGTAGCCAGCACGGGCTGGAAGAGCACTGCAGGTTAAGCACACCTGATCAAAATCTAAACTGTTGTACATTGTGTCTCATTTCCACCTCGTCAACACCTGAACTGCTAGCTTTTTCAGCAGCAGCAACAACAAAGATGACTCTTAGGAACCTCAGCTAGCATGAGACTCACTGTGCCGGTGTCCGGCGCCACGTCCAAGGCGTAAATCCAGCGAGCGTGGGCGTTGACTTCGGCGTACACGGAGCCCGACGCCCCATCGTACAGCCGGATCTGGCCACTGCCATACCCTGCCACCACCACCCCGCACCACAGCTTCACCGACGAACAGCTGCACCTGCAGGCCGCCGGGGGGCGACAGAGAGGCAGGGTCTCAGTGTAAGAGAGGGGAAAGACGCTGTAAAACCCACGCCAGCGCACGAACGCCGGGAAAGACAGAGGGAGCACGAGCGTTGGCGACCACAAAAGACGAAGCATGCAAGAGACCAACAGTATGAGAGAGACATATGAGAGGAACAGGTGGAGCAGATGCTCATTTGTTATTACATCTCTTCAGACTCTTCCCCCACAATCGATGTCTCCTGCAGAGTGACAAACAGAGCCCGCTTTACCAAAATTATATTCCTCATTTACGAGACAAAACATGTCCTTACGTCTCTCACAAAGCACCATGAAGAAGGCTCCACGGCCGAAACGTTGTCTCTTTTCTTTTCCATTCAGCATGGAATAAACCTTTTCCTGTTCCTCAGTCTCTGATGCTGTTTTCTCACCGCATACCTGCTTCACCTCTCTGCTGCTTTCTCATTATTCTCCTCTTCCTTCTCTTACTGCTCGTCAATATACACAGAGCATCCAAAGATGCTCTATTCATGTATTAAAACAAATGAAGTGCACATATTTTTTTATATTGAATAAAAGTTCTTGGTTAATTGACAATCCATGACTGACCATAATATACACAAGTGACTTTGCTGAACAAACCATCTCATCAGTGAGAGAGCAGACTGGGCACAGGTGACTTAACCTGCTCAGCGTCGCTTCTGCTGTAAGTCAAGAAAGAAGTACACAGAATAAGCCTTGTTCATTCAGAGAACAATGTCTTAGTGCCGTCAGTATGTTGGAGGCTGGATTAAGTTAGCACATAAGTGATCACTCTGGGGTGTTCCCAGACAGCATTTGTTTTTACCTGGTATACATTATTGGACAAACAGTCTGTCAGGGACAGGCCATGGTCTAGAAGACCACTTAGTCATCATCATCATCATAAAATAATGTCTTTTATTTATAAAGAACCTTTTCAAACCCAAGGACGCTGTAAACAAGAGCATACAGTTTTATACATAATAGAATGTAGGATAGGATTTAAACAGAGAGAATTTGTCTCTCGTGGGGTCTTAGAAAGGGCGTTCCACAACAACAGACCAGTGACAGAAATGACACAGTCACCATAAGTCTGAGAGTTAGTCCTAGAAGCTAGTCCTAGTGATGATTCCTGTCTAAAATTGAAAAGTCATAACCTAGCTGTGAAGGTCTTGGCAGGAGTGCTCAAGCTGATCATTGGGAACTCCACTGCTGCCCCCCTGTGGACGCACCCTGACATGACAACATTCCCGCAGGACAGTGTTTTCACTGGCGCTGCTGGAGTCACAAGGTTTTCATGCCACACCAGAACGACAGCGACGGCTGTGCCATGGAAGCTGTACTTGTACAGACTTCCACTTAATTGATTTACATGTGGAATGAGCTGGGCTGGTGTGTGGCCTGGAACAGCAGGAGCGAGACGGAATACCACAAGAATACCTCTGCCACCTGACAGCCGGTTTCCTGATAATAGCTTTGTGCACTTAGAGGCGACTGGTCGGTATTCAAACCCTGGCCCTCCCTCGCTCCCCAGTCTCACCCGTAAGCAGGGATCTTGTTGACCAGACTGAAGTCCTCCCCTGACTTCCACACACAGAGGAGCCCCGAGTCGTCCGCCGTGACCAGGTCAGCCACACCGTCCTGACAGGACAAAGGGGTTCGGAAAGAAAGGGGCATTGTGGGTCAAGAGGGTGATAGATCAGTACAGAAGAAAGAAAGGACGTCAGAGACACAAGTAAAGGAGCCAAAATCAACTGGACAGATCCAACTGGATGTTTGATTACCAAACCTTTGTCAGCAATGAGGACACCCAGTGCTAAAACAACTTTTCCAAGGGTGAAGTGTTAGCACACGCAGTGAGGGGGCAGCACCGTACCTCGTTTCTGGACGACTCTGAGGCGATGTCAGTGATTGGTTCCCTGTGCTCCTCTAGCACTTCCGACAGAGTGATATTGCTGCCTTTACTGGGCACGTCAAACACCAACACTGAGCCACAGGAAGTACCTGGAGTGAGAGACAGGAAGAGGACAAGCAGGACAGAGGCCACATCAACAAGTCAGCGAAAGAGAAAGAGAGTGAGGCAGAGTGAGTGCGAGGCAGTGTGAGACAAACATGGTGAGCTGGTGTGTGTCGGAGTTAGTGTGAGAGAATGAACGTGAGGTGGCGGGCGTTAGTCCGAGAGAAGTGGTGCCTGTGTGAAAGAAATGAGACTGAGAGGAAAAAGTCAGATGATGTGAGTGAGCCAGTGACAGAGTGATGTGAGTGTGAGAGAATGAGTTTTAGTTTGTGTGAGTGTGAATCAGTATAAGAGTGTGAGTATATAGGATGTGAGTGTGAGATAACGAGAGTGAGGTCAATGTGAGGGAGAGAGTGAGATGGTGTGAGTGTGGTATGCTTTCGTTTTCATGTTGGTGCATTAAGAATAAATATACTAAAATACTTATGTGAGTGTATGTCTGAGCCCCAGAACCGAACCCCCCTCTTTTTAATTAATCCTAATGGAGGAAATTGATTAATTGCTCTTGATTCTCTTTACAGTGTGTATAACGAGTGCGGTCAGTGTGAAGGAGAGAGTGAGATGGTGTGAGTGTGATCTGGTGTGAGATAACGAGAGTG